ATTTCTTCACTAGAGGCCTGATGTATGAAATTGGTGCAAGAGTAGACCTTCCTTCCCCTGGCTGGCACTGGCTTCCCTCTGATACCTGGGACCTGGGCTTCCCTTGTAGCCTTGACTTTGTCCGGAAGGTCGTCCGGTCTAATTAGCATATTACACGTTTATTATGATGGATGGAGGTTAAGAAGTGGCACCTGTCCCTGGTAGAGTATGGGTACCATACAGCCTGCGATGTAAACAGGAGTAAAATAGTAAAAGCCCAGTGCTCTGAGGACCCAGGACAGCCTGCAAGAGGGGAGGGGCCCTGCTCTGTGGGAACTCTTGCCCTAGCATGTCCTGTTTAGCCAGACTGCTCCAGAAGGTGCTTCTAGGATCTCCAGGCTTAGAGATGAGTCATGCTCTGCCTTAGCCCTGGCTGACTAAGCTGATCTTGACCTCTGCCTGCCATCCTGAGCACTCCCAGACCAGCCTCATAAGTCCCCCCAGAGTCTGCACGTGGGCAACCTCAACCACTAGGCCAGCCCAGACAACAGCCATCTTCCAACCAGAAATCCCCACACCAGTCCAGGGCTCATACCATCAACCACCTCACTGATCACTCTGAATTGCACAGCTAATTCCCCCCCCCCTCCCCCCACTTTTATGGCCAGCTAAACCCACCCTATGCCAAGAAACACCATGGGGAGGACGCTGGTCTTTGTGCCATGAGTAGGGAGAGGGTGAATGGAAGGCACCATCCATTGAGAACTGAGAGCTTTCTCTCCCTGTAAGTCTGACTGCTTTGTTTTCATCTCTTTTGCATTTACTCTGCCATCTTTTCATTACAGTGATAATAGCAGCCATGCAATGTGTTAAGCCATGCCATGTGTTACTACCAATAATAATAATAATAATAATAATAATAAAAGTTAAAAAGGGAGAGCTGTAGATAGCAGGCTCATTTGATTGTTTGGGATACTCTCCCTTTCTGCTCTAGTCCTCTGCAGGCTTCTCTTACCCTAGGCCTGTGGTAGGCAAACCGAGGCTTGTGAGCCACATGAGTGTGGCTCTTGAGTGTGGCTCTTTCACAAAATACCACAGCCTGGGCAAATCTCTTTTGAAGAAGTGTCATTAGAAGAAGTTTAAGTTTAAAAAATTTGGCTCTCCAAAGAAATTTCCATCATTGTACTGTTAATATTTGGCCCTGTTGACTAATGAGTTTGCTGACCACTGCCCTAAGCAGACCATCCACTGCCCATCATTTCATACCTTTGCATTGTTAACGTAAGAAACATTCAAACCTGTGAAGAATTTTTGTGCGTTTATTTGAGCCAAACCGTTGACAAATGCCAGGAAGCAGAATCTCCATGGATTGAGATGGTGCCCAGAGAATGGCCGTTTTTCACCTTCCTTTATACATGAGAATCAGAAGAGGAGATGTAAGTGGGTTACATGAAATCATTGGTGATAGATGATTGGGGAGGCGGGAGAAAGCAGAGGGCGGCGGGGAAGAGGAGCCTCTGGGACTGGGCAAACAGTAAAATGATAGACACACACCTCTTTTACTTAGGTGGATGCAGGATGGTGAACAGTCAACAGTGAATGCAGTAACAATGAGGGGATTTGAGGTCTCCACAGAGCAGTGCCTGCGCTTTGCGAGGTCCACAAAAAAAGGACAGTACTTTGACATTCCAGTGACATGTTATTGTAGATGCAACAAGACAATACGTAGGCTAGGTTTAAGGTAAAGATGGACTGGTCAGGGAAGATACTGGCCTCGGGCATGACTACCCACCATAAACCACATTTTAGCTTTAAAACAATTAATTTCAGACCATCCTTTGTGGTTGCTTTAGGTCTCTTGAGCTTGCAAGGCTGCCGTGCAGGCCTTCCCTGAGCTAGTCAGGTTAGCATGGGGCCCCTTTTCGTCCATAGCACTATGCTCTCAAACATTTGTTTCACAGTCAGCAAAATACTGAGCTGGACTCGACCTCTTTGCTTTAAGTGAAGCTTGGCTCTCTCTGGAGGGCATTGCTTCCTGGTAGCCACCTCAAGGGGGTGCTTCCTACTTTAGATGGAAAGAGAACGCTAAGGAAGAGCTGGCTCTGCGGTTCAGGCAGAAAAGTTTGAACAAGCGCTCTGGGGCTGGAGTGAGCTTGGCAAACTCTCAAAAGCAACAGCCACAAGGAAAGGACACTTCCAGTGTGGCTCCAGGAAGTGCGCTTGGGAGAGTGGAGGATGAGTTGAGGCTGGAGAAGGTAGCAGGGTCAACTCATCCTAGAAGGTCGGTTTAGGGGCAGTCTTAGCAGAGGCTGCTGTAACAAAATACCCCGGCCTGGGTGGACTTCATTCCTTGATTCTTTACTTATTTATTCCCTTTATTTGGAAAGCCTCTCCCCCTCTTTTTGTCTCACAAACTCATTCCTGCCCATCATGTAAGTAACCCCATCTCTGGAAAGCCTTCTCTAATCCCCATGCCTTAATGTGGGCGAGGAAGCTCTTCTGAGAGCCCTCACACCACCCTGAGTCAGCCAGGAATCTCAGAACTTAAAAACAGTTCCTCCCTGCTCCCCTCCCTCCCTTTTCCTATTATTTACTCATTGCTACCATAGATGGAGCGCCCATAGGTAAGAGCCTAATAAGTCTTTTATCAGGAGGTTCTGGCTTTACAGAAGGCGTCAAAGAATTTCTTGTTGGATAGAAACGTTCTTCGGAGAAACAAATTCCAGGAATGGGGTTCAAATCAAAGTGCAACTCCACATATGGAAAATATGGACTATCAATTGCTTCTCCAAAAGTTACATTGATTTTTTTTTTTTACTGCTGCTAGCAATGCTACTCTATCGATTGAATCACGTGTTTTCAACCATTCTCTGAACCACAACCATTAATGTGCCAGAATAGTTTTCTTTCGGCTTTAAGAATATTTCATCACGTGGAGCGGTGTTGTCCATGAGGACTCGCTATGATCAGAGGAATCTTCTGTATCTACATTGTCTCGTTTGTTGTAGCCACCAGCCACTGAGTGAGCACTGGAAATGTGACGAGTGTGATTCAGAAACAGAACTTTTTCACTTCCTTTAATTTTAGTTAACTTAAATATATTAAACATCCACATGTTCCAATTGGTTATCCCTTTTGGACAGCACAACTCTAGAGAGAGGAAAGGAATACTTTGGGCAGGTGTAATTGCCCCCTTCTGGATTCCTTTCTTCCTTTTTAAATGCTGGTGGTGTAAGCTCATCCCTAAGGTGTGACCAGTTCACAAAGGCTGGCATTGTTATTATGAGTCAGTGCTACCTAATTCGGGAAACATTTTTTTAAGTGGTGCTCAGATCGGGAGAGTAACACCTTACATCAGGAATACAACCGAAACCTCTAAGTCTGAAGACCCGAAGGAATCTGGGCAGTGTTACTCTTTCTATTCAGAGGCATGCACTTAAGCGACTGACGGTGAAGGAGGCCAGGAGCCTGACACTTTCAGAGAGGCATCTGCCGTCGGACTTGTTTTTCCAGGGAAACTGCCAAACTTGTTTTCATCAGGCAGGAAGTGAAGCAACTTCTCAGGGAACGAGCACAATGTGTGTATCCTATCAGACCTTTTACCTTTTACCTTCTGCTTGTGAGTCTAGGTGGAGTTTTGCTTTTCAATTTAAGAGGAGAGCTGGGTGGGCTGAAGATTTTTCCCTCTTACCCCAGGTGGTTTCCTTGGATTTCAAATCCAAAGTCGTATTTGTAATCAGTGTACCTGTTTTGATTCTCCAAGTATCTATATGCCCTTAACGGAAGGAAGCTTTTTATCTTGCACTTTTTTTTTTTTTTTTTTTTTGGTCCATAGAGTTCTCTAATACGAGTAAATGTACTGAGTTGAATTAGAAGAAGCCTGCCATTAAAGTACTAGCCTATGTGACCTCCTGGTAGGGAGCCTTCTACAAGCTGATGATGGGAGGGAGTTTGTCTCTTTTTTTGGAGTTGTTGGTACCGGGTGGAAGAGGTAACCTCAAAAGACACGTCCCCAAAAGTCATGTTTTATTATTTAACACCAACATCTTCTACCCCTGGGTTTCTGGTAAATCAGTTGTGGAGCAAAGACATGGGTTAGCTAGCCAGTCAGGCCTCTCGGCTGGACAGAAAACTGTGGAGTTTCTTTCTCCGGCTCTTCCTATCGGGAGAGAATTGAAGAGGCTCCACAAACCTCTCCAAAAAAGTGTTCTGCCTGAGACTGGTTTGGTTCAGTGGAGGATAGAACGCCGGCTTGCGGACTTAGGGGTCCCAGGTTCGATTCCGGTCAAGGGCATGTACATGGGTTGCGGGCACATCCCCAGTAAGGGGTGTGCAGGAGGCAGCTGATTGATTATCTCTCATCGATGTTTCTGGCTCTCTGTCCCTCTCTCTTCCTCTCTGTGAAAAATCAATAAAATATATATTTTTAAAAAACTGTTCTGGGTACAGGATGCGTGCGCGACCCCAAGGTTAGCAGGCTAGCCCCCGGCTCCCAGCGCAGCGCCGCTCACCACTCACCACTCACCGCGCGTCCCGGGCGCGCGCGCCTGGAGCCGGACCTGCCGGCCGCCGCGGGCGCCCCGGAGCGAACCATCGGGCGGGCCGGCCGGGGGTGGGGGGTGGTGCGGCCGTGAGGGGCGCGGGGCGCGATGGTCACGGGATCGATCCTCTCGCTGCCGCCGCTGTCGCCACCAACTCCGGCTCCGGCTCCTCGCCGAGCGTCGCGCGTGCCTCGTCCTGCTGCGGGGGCCTCGCGGGCCCCGGGGGCGGGGCGCCGTGCGTCCTCCCCTCCGGTGGCGCGGGGGGTGGTAGCGGCCCATTTGAGAGTTTCCCGGGCCTCTGGGCTGGCACAGAGGCTCTGCGCTCGGGCCGGGGCGGACCTACGCCGGCGCCGCGGGAGGAGGGACAAAGGGGTGGGTCCCCCGCTGGCAGGCGCCCAGGCAACTAGTTCGGAGGACTGACCCGCCGCGCGGAGCAGGAGCAGGAGGAGGAGCGGGGCCCACGCGGGACCCGCGCCCGAGATGCTGGTGCGAGGAGATCGCGGCTTTCCACCCCGGAGGGAGCTGTCATGTTGGCACCATGTAAGTGCCCTCTTGCGCTCATGGGTGGGGAGAAGGGTCGCCGAGAGTGGAGAGTGAACCTAGGAGCGCGCGGTGGGCTTCCCAGATGTGCTGTGGGAGCTGGGATTCTCTCCCCCGAGGCTGGGGGCCTTCGGGACTCCTGGATTCCTCTTTCTTCTCTCTTCTCTTTTCTCTCTTCTCCCTTCTCCCTTCTCCCTTCTCCCTTCTCCCTTCTCCCTTCTCCCTTCTCCCCTTCTCTCCTCTCTTCTCGTCACTTGGGTTTCAGATTAAGTCACTGAGTAGGGGACTCCTGGATTCCTCTTCTCCTCTTCTCTTCTCTTCTCTTCTCTTCTCTTCTCTTCTCTTCTCTTCTCTTCTCTTCTCTTCTCTTCTCTTCTCTTCTCTTCTCTTCTCTTCTCTTCTCTTCTCTTCTCTTCTCTTCTCTTCTCTTCTCTTCTCTTCTCTTCTCTTCTCTTCTCTTCTCTCTCTTCTTTACAGATTAAGTCACTGAGTAGGGGAGTCTGTCTTGAACTCTTGTCTGGGATCCCTACTGCCTTGGAGGCATCTCTGGAGCCGGTCTGTCATCTGCTGTGTGGCCTTGTGTGTTCCCTCTCTGTTTCAAGCCACACTCTGTGTTTGATGAAAGTTTCTGGTGTATACATATGTGTGTGCTTGAGGCAAACTGACAACTTTTTAAAAACCAGGATCTTCATGTCTCCCTTTGAATCAGCAGCTTCTGTGCTCACTATACGTAGAAGAAAAAAAAAATTGTCCTCAGTGGGGAGTGGAGATGGAGCTTCAGAAGAAACCACAACAAGGGAACGCTGAGTGCTTTCTGCTCGGGCATTATCTCACCTGTCATTAGTTCCTTCTCTTCTGTGTCTTCATTTGTCAGGTTTCCGCTTCTACACAGTAGTGGGAGCTATAAATAATCAGGGTTTGGGCTGCAGGGTTCTGACAGGGAATGCTCCAGAGCTTAGTAATGGGCTACGCCTCCCACCTCTTATTTTAGCTTCGGTTCTCCTTCTCTGGCTGCAGCAGCGCCGCTTCCCTGGCAGCCGGGTGTGTGCCCTGAGTAATGGCTGTGGCTTCCCTGCAGTGCCCAGCTGATTCTTACCATCCTGGAAACTGCCCTCCGGTCACACACTGCCTTCCCTCACCCCAACAGAGAGGGACAGAGGCCCCCTTCTCCAGGTCTGTAGGTGGTCTGTGCAGGGTACACAGATGGTCACTTTGGGAGAAACAGGCCCTCTCCGAGGGGACCGTGGTGGGAAGCATCTATACACACCCGGGAAGGACACGTTTTAAGCGAGAAGTTAGTAGGAGTAATTGCATTGGTAGCAAAGTGCCACGAGAATGACATTTGTTTATTCCATCCATGTTCACAAACAACTTCACTTCCAGTGTGGGGAATGCAGACGGTAAGAGGGCACCTCCACCCGCCACATTCTCCTGGCTGGGGAAGCAGGCACATAACGAAGACGGATGGGTTCCAGAGAGAAACGGGGACCCGGTGCTGCAGCTTTCCTTGTGGGGAAGGTGAGGGGTGGGTGTTTTCTAAGGCGGCAGTGGCTTCGGATATGTTTCTTGAGCTTGGCCGGAGCGGCTGCCAGACACGGATGAAGGGGAATTTTCTTCTCGGAAATACCACCTGTAACTTTCCCCTCCACCCCCCAGGACGGGGCAGCTAATTGATAACGTCATGAGCACCTCCTGTGCTCATCACCGCGGGTGGTTTCTGGATGAGCCACACTCAAATTCTGCCTCGAAGTATCTCTGTTAGATCTGAAAACTGAGCACTTGTGTTTCTGCAGCCCACGCCCACGCTGCTGGCATCCCCGAGGCTGGGGCAGGGCGTGTGCAGGACAGAGAGGTGTCCTGTGTGTGTTCCCTTCAGGGATCCTGGCTGGGAAGAAAGGGTGGCATTTGAACAGATACCTTGTGGCATAAGCCGGTATAAAAACATGGGGCCCCCACCTCATGGGGTCAAGTGAGAACGGGATGAAATACTGTAGGGGCCTGGCACGTGGTGGGTGCCAAGTAAATAGCAGCTCGTAATCCGAACCATAAGGAGCTCCCACTATGTATGCGTTGGTTCCAGGGCTGATAGGGATGTTGGGTCTAGAAGCATGGACAGGAGGTGCCTGGTGGGTGTCCAGGGGAAAGAGGAAGAGCTGCTTACTCTCTCTTGAAAGGCCTTGTATGCCAGTGAGAGAACTTTAAGTGGGGGTTGGGGGTGAGGGGATGGAGGAGAAGCCGTAGAAATCCCTGAAGTGAATCAGTTTCCCAGTAAATTCTCCACTCCAATCCCCACACAGGGAAATATTACTATTTTTTGAGGCATTCATATGCTTAAAGCCAATGAATTTTTATATCACCCCCTGGGAATACCATTTGCTAGGACTTCTCCCTCCATTTGTTTGACTTTTGATCTAGTTTTTTTGTGCGTTGACAAAAGGTCACAGGCCAACCATTTATCTCCTGCAGAAGTGCCTGGGAATGCAAGGGAGGTGATAACATTCCTACAGCGGCTTTTGAATTTGCAAGGTTTTCTGTCCTGATGGTTTTTTGTTTTTTGTTTTTGTTTGTTTGTTTTCTTAGGGGGCAGATACGTTCTTGAAATTGTAGTTTAAAAAAGTCATGCAGATTTGGTTGGGAGTGTCGTGAAGTGTAGGCGTGCCTGGGGTGGGGCGAAGAGGTAGGAAGGGTTAGTAATCACTGTTGAAACTTTCAACACACTTCTAACAAGAATGTGAGCCATCTGGGAATTTTTTTTTTTTTTTTCCTGCCTAATCCCTGAAACAAATCCCAGTAAGGAGTTGTGGCTTCAGATTAAATTGTCTAGGTTGGGAGTTTACTTCCTATAACATGCCTCATTGATGAATTAGACCCTACCCAGTTATCAGGGGGTCAGAAGTTTGCTGGCCAGGATGGCCTTGGGCCAGCCAGCCTTGGTGTTGAGAGGCATTTTTCCTGGAAAATTGGGTGGGGCAAAGTGATTCTCTCAGGTGTTTTACTGAGTAAGTTTCTTGATCCTCAATCCAAGGAGTATGTAAGGCTCAGAAACAAAGACTCAGGCCAGAATTAACACATATTTATGGGTTAAAAACTTCAATGTTTACTTGAGCTTTTTTTCTTTTTTTCTTTTTTAAGGTTAAAAAAGAAATCCTTTCTTAAGCGACTTCGACCTACTTCAACCTCACAAGAATTTTTGTCATGACCCTTGTTAGTAGATGCCTAAATAGCTAGCAAATTTCTGAGGGTCTGGGGTAGTATTTCTATTAAACATTTTTAAAAAGACTATGAAACAGCAATGAGACTTTTTTATTTTATTTATTTTTATTTTTTTTTAAAAAAACATATTTTATTGATTTTTTTGCAGAGTGGAGGAGAGAGAGATAGAGAGCTAGAAATGCCGATGAGAGAGAAACATCGACCAGCTGCCCCTTGCACACCCCCTACCGGGGATGTGCCCGCAACCAATGTACATGCCCTTGACCGGAATTGAACCTGGGACCTTTCAGTCCGCAGACCGACGCTCTACCACTGAGCCAAACCGGTTTCGGCAGCAATGGGACTTTTTTAAAACGCCGCGGGACGAGGGACAAATTGTTGAAAATCGGGACTGTCCCGCCAAAAGCGGGACGTCTCGTCACCTTATCCTAGCATCCAGTGTTGATGACAGTTGGGTCCAGTCTGAAAGGCTACCTAGGAACGCAGTGATGAAGCTAGTACACCGCCCACATTGTTGGGGGGGGGGCGGGCGGAGCTCTGAGTTGGAAAGTGCCTGCTCCCACTTTCTGAACTGGATTGGGAAATGTGCTTCTCAGAATAGCACGTGGCGGTGCCTGACCACTGTACTTGGCTATTGACTCCTAGAGCTCCACAGGCCTTCAGAGACCTCCCAACGAAGGGGCTGGTTTCACTTTGGGTTTTAGATGATCGGCGCCTCCATCACCCAGCCAGGCACTACACCCAAACCTTCGTCAGCCTCCATAACCTGCGAGCTCAGCAGAGAGACTAGGAGCTGGCATATTGAAAAAAAAAAAAAAAAAATACCTAAACGTTTGCTGGAGCGTTTTCTCTGCCTCCTCTGCTGTCCCCGGAACTGTGTTTTCCAAAGTGTGCTTTACAAACAGACAGACTTGCTGAGAGGGACATGCCCCGTTCTTTCCATTGCATGAATATTGTCCTTTAAGAATAAAAAACACAAAGCCAGCTACCTAACTCATTTATTGAATGGATTAGGTTACTTAGAAGGAGGCAAAAATGAGTGTTAAGTAACATAGTTTCGTTTAAGAGAAACAGTAAATGATCAGGATGAGTGGTATGAGGCTGTCAGAAATCATGAAGACAGTCCTTTAAATCAAAGACGGGAAATACTGTGACGATTATGGAGAGCTAGGTAGGCTTTGACGTCACCTTCAGGAAAGTTGGGCACAGAATGGCCCAGGAAAGCCAGGAAGGTTGAATTTGACGGATTTTACGCCTTAACGTGTGCGCCTTAACGTGTGCATCTTGCTCTTGTCCACGGAGCTCTCTTCCTGTGATTGAAGACTTTAGGAAGCTCCTGAATGTCTTGCCCAGTTCTCATTCCTCTCTCCGCTTCCCGTGAGCCGGGTGTAAGGTTTGTTGGTATGGCGTTTACAGGGTAGAATGCAAAGGCCTCTCCTGAGGGACGTCACCCTGTTATCAAGTGCATTTCCTTTGTCATCCATCCATCAGTGCCTAAGAATGGAGAGAGCCAGTCTCTTCCAGGTGTCAATGTGTTTTACTTGAAAAGCATAGTTTCCATTGGTCAGTGAAGTAAGCTTTAGATCTTGAGATAGGACGGAAGTAACCCTGCCTTGACCTAGAGAAATGAGTGATGGGAAGCTCACGTAGGTACGTAAAACCAGGATAGAAAATGCTTTGTTTTGGTCACCCAAATCCCTGCTTGTGTTTGTTCATGCACACACCATTTTTGAAAAACCCTAAGCCTTCAATTAGTAACTTGTACTTTAGTCATTTTAAATCAGTAC